AAAAAAAAAAAAAAAGAATTCTGAAAATCGGCATTCTATTTACTACTTGTACCAAGAAGATTACATAAAATGTAAGCAGAATTATACATATTCATCAAAGATCTTATATAAAACTAAGTTCAATAAGGGCAAGTGCACATTAAAGAAAATATATGTATAAAATCAAAAATACTAGATTCTTAATGAAACAATTCAGAGTTTCTTGAAAATGACAATGATGTCAAGGTTTTTATTTTTTTAATTCAGGATATTATGGGGGTACAAATATTTTGGTTACATGCTTGCCTCGCCCAAGCCAGGGCTACAAGCGTGTCCTTCCCCCATACAGTGCACTCTGCATCCATTAGTTGTGGGCTCACCCTCCCAGCGCCCCGACGTGACGGGCACTCAATGAGTATTACTACCATGTGAACACCTTAGTGTTGATCAGTGATGCCGAGGTTTTTAATAAGACAATGCAACGTCTTACTTATGTCCAATAGGTATCGGATTATTTCAAAAATACAGGTAACGCATGTCTCTGATCTTTCAGCAGTCAAATAAATTACTAGATGTACAGAAATGAACATAGTAAGAATCCCATAGGATAATGAAGAAAATGAAGATTTACTATTACAAGGATAAAACTGGCACCAAATTTACTCATTAAACAAATACTTGTTATTTATTATACCAGGAAGTCTAACCTAAGATCGTTCCTCTATTCTGGACAGAGACTAGAAAGATACATACACATGATTTTTGGTTATTGATTAAAAAAATAAGCTAAAGCATCAATTTTAGCAATCTATTTTCTGCTACGGAAACAAAAAATAATTTTAAAGCCTGGCTGCTTGTTACTTCAGCATTGAGCACTATACTTTACTCACAAAAGGGGTTAAATAAACAGCCTTTATGTGCAACTCAATGTTCTGGGTTTACTTTTCTAATCAAGCTTTTGGTCACCACAAAGAAAATAATACAAGACTGAGAGCAAGGCAGTTAAGGTTTTAAAGGAAATTACATAAAATTATTTGTATTCATAAAAAGCTATATCTCCATCTTCCTTCTCACCATCAAGAAACTAATAAACATAATAAATATTTTATATTTACTTATTCATTTATAATAAGCATAATGAATATTTTGACTAAATATAAAGCAATATATGTCACATGTATAAAAAGAGTTATTTAAAACTTTCATATATATGAGAAGTAGTACATTTAGGAAATTTACTTTTCTACCTCTTCTCACCTCTCTCAACTGTTTATTATTACAAGGGGAAAATGTTACAATAATTGATTATGTTGTGATGCTTGCTATTTTATATACAAAAACAATTAGTAAATTTCAAATAGAGAAGCAGATTGACATTTTATATGAATATTAAACAGTGATATTTGCTAGAAAAGTTTAGGAAGATTTTTCTCCTTTTTGGAAGAAAATAAATATTAATGAAAATTTAATAATAGTACAAGGCACAATAAGGAGATTAAATGATAGTGTAATTCAAATTGCAAAAATGTTTGGAACACTAGTATTCATAATATTACACAAAATAACCTTGGATATCTGTTTCGTTTTTAATCATTTAATTCCATTTAAGACACGAGTCTCTCAAAAAGAAGTCTTACTTGAGAATTTTTCAGTTTTTATGAAAACAAATTAAAAAGAGAATTCAGATTGTCAACTTTGCTACCTTAAAATTTCACAAGGAGAGAAAACTTCAAAACCTCCTTTCCCTCCATAATTTCATGTTACATAAATCACACTCAAAAGTAATTTTCAATTTTTCTTTTGTGTTATAATTGGAAATAATTTCTCTAAAAATCCTCACATTAATATATCAGAGTTTTGGAGGCTTAAAACTAATTTTACACTTCAAGGATATTTAAATCAATAAAGCAGTTACTGCAATAGATAAAGCAATATCTAGATAAAGCAATATCACTTTATCTAGACCAGCACTTTTTAAATATAGATCCCAATAATTAAAAATACAAAAGTAGCACTTTACTTTTATAAGGTGAATACTATCATCACCTTTTCTGCCCAGTAAATTAGAGTAATTGATTTTTTTTACATTTTACTGATAACAGCTACTCAAAATGACTTATATATTTCAGACTCATGATAATTAAGTTCAAGCTATCAAATCAGAGTCAATTATCAAGAAATTAATGTTTTCTAGGACACCAAATGGACTGTCTTACAAGACTATAAGACCACTGATTAACAGGAGGTAGCCAGAAGATAGCCAATTCTAGTCCTCAGGGCAAAAATATGAATCTGTTTGGAGAAGTCAGGGCAAATCTAAGACCACCAAGAGTAGTGAATAGGTGGTCCTTTGCATATATTTAATAAACACAGAGGACCATTCCTGATGTGCAATGACTTTACAATTAATAGGGACGTTCTGCTCCTAGGTCTAACATTCTTAACCAGTGTTGAGGAAAACAAACGCCTAACATCTATCTCCATAACATACCTGGTATGCAGAGAATTTACTCCAAAGGAAGAGAATGTTTAGGTGCTCAAGTTTGTTTAAGCAACCCTGGTTGAATATAGGTGGTATCAGTTTACATATACGCTTGTTAATTTATATTAAATATTAATTAATATTTCTTTCAACTTTCTCTAGAGATAAGAAAGAAAGGTGCTAAGAAGGGAAAAGAAAGATCAAAACAAATAACAAAAATCAGGACTCTGGAAAACTGTGAGTGAAAGGATATATTCTTCTGTAGTCATACACCTGCCCACCCCCAACCCCCGCCGGTTCTTCAAGAGCAGAATTGTTGAACATAAACGTAAACAGATCGATATTAATTGCCAATTGCCCCTGGAATGACTAAGTCAACATCAAAGACAGAATCAGTGAAGATGCAATGTTACTGCACCGAGTGGAGTGTCAATATCCTGTCAGATGCAACTAGCTCAGCCAAGGCTAAGGGAAGGAGCGCACCAAACCTGAAGGGGCGCCATCCTTGCAGTGGGGTGACAGGAGAAAGAAAGGGCCAGAGGGTGGATGTTTGGCATTGGTCAGTAAACAACTTTTCTGACTGTCAAAAAGAATAGGAGA